AATTGATGGAAAGAAACACAACATATGAACAAACAAAGATGAAGAGGTAGAGTGTGATCAGAATCCTCAGCAGGCACTGGCAGCAGGAGCGGCCGCTGGGGCACGGCAAGGGTGGTGACCAGGGAGATGAAGAAGCAATGGAAGAGGAGGAGTGGTGGGTGGAACATAACCTCTCCATGTCACCCTCCTTTGTGAGAGCTGTATGAGGGTCAAGTGGGTGTGAAGGAAGAAAAAGAGAAGGCCAAAAGAAAAACAACGATAATTTAATTACAAACAACAAGAACTTACAAAATCTTTGAGCACATAAACAGTGTTAATGATGTACTTTTGGGAAGCAGTGTGGGTGCCAAAGAACATTTGTAAAGGTGGTAGCCATAAATGACTCTGTTCAGATGCCAGCGCAGATTTATTCCTCTATCCAGTACTGAGATAACACAGAGTTTTGAAAGAGCTTTTAAAAAAATGTTCTTAGAAATTTGAAGGTTTTTCTTCAGGAAAGCATGTTCCAAATTGATTAGTTTAAATCTAATTTCTTTCTACTGTTAAATAAAATCAAAACAACCAGTATAAAATGAAATAAATGTTTGAGACTATGTACCTTACAGATGTATTAAGTAGCACAGATTAGCCAGAATTTACTTGATCTGTAAGTGCCCTACAACTCAGCAATCTTTCCCATCAGGAATCATCATTCTTACTGTTGTTAATTCATAGCCAGGGGCAAAAAATACCATAAGAAATCTCGATTTCCTGACCATGATAAATTTAACAACTCAGCTTTATAAAAGTCTGTGTGCACTGCTGGCATTACTGAAAAAAACATATCAATCTCATACCAAGAGTTCCAGTCTCATTACTCCAGGAAGGAGAAATTCCACAAGCAATCCCAGAAAGTGGCATTGCCTACCGTCCAGTTTTCACTACGTTCTTTCTGTCCACTCCTGTCCTTATATTTAGGAGGGATTGCTATGATGCAGATAAGCTCATGATCAACGGGTAATGCCCAAAATTTGTCAGCAAGGAACCTGAACTGCAGCTTCAAGTAATTTTAGACTCAAATTCTAGAATTAGTTTATTCCTTGAATTATTAAAGCTCATTAATGTTTGCCAAGCACTGTTTCTAGTAAAAGCAATAGGTTCCAGTCCTAAAAGATGTAAATGCATACATGAGCAAGACAAAGTTACAGATACTAAGATTTTTAATAAATAAGAAATGAAAAGTAAGCCTGGTTTTACTGTCTTCAACTTAAAATACCTGACTTCAAAAGTGAAAACAGGGTGAGATCCTGACATGAGAGGACAATACGGTATGCACCCTTGATAGGCATGAGGTAAGAATCTGTTCCTAAAGACTCATTTGTGATAGCTGATTTAAGCCTTTTATTTAAGCCTATTTTTTTAAATTGCTACCGTTCTTAATGAATTGTAACATTTGTACTACTTTGTACTGACATGCATAATATGCACACACACTCCCACAGTGCACACAAAACCACGACTGTGCTGGAGATATTATATGCCACACAGACTCACATGATCCACCCAACTTCACAGCGTCAAATCAATCAAAAGCAAGAAAAACCACTTGATCTTTTAAACACGTGGGCTGGTGGTCTGTATGAAGGAAGGAACCCTGTGCCTGTTTGTGTGTTCCATGCATGGTGTTAGAGTAACAGGAGGGATAAAGTGGATAGATTGCACACCTTTGCACACAACAGTCACTCTCTGCGAGGTGTGCGTCACACTGCAATACTCTACAACACGGGCTCATACTACTGTTCAGTTACAGAGCAGCCTCCCCATTTTCCTTCTCCTTCGCAGGAAGAAAAGAGCCTCTTCCCATGTTGTAAAAAATATTTTTAAGGTCCTTTATCTCCTAAGGTGAGGAACATTCCTTCTAGATCTTAAATTTGGTGACATGCATCATCTTGAGCATAGGCATAAGGACCCGGACAGCCAATAATCTTAAGGGAATTCTCCCTGCTACCTCTGAAATCCACTTGTCCCTATCAGTATCTGATCTCCAGCTGCAACCGGTAGCTGTTCCTGACAAGAGAACAGCTTTCTCACTGTTGTCCTAGAAAATCTACATCCAGAAGTCAAATTCGGTGTAGGGGGAAAATCTCTTGCTGAAGCATGAAGCTTGAGCTTGTAATAGCCGTCAGGGCTGCAGGACTACCTATTCCCTGAATAATTCTAGAAATTAAACCCTAGGGGTACTGTTGGCTCTAATTTATAATAAAACAATCTGAAAAGCAGCTTCTGCTGGAAAGACTGCAAGTGTGAGACAAATACTAGAAAGTGGAAAAACAAGCAAGCTTGCAAGCAATTAACGACAAGGGAGTTTGTATTTTTTTTTAATGAACAGAAAATGAAATCCCTATGTGCTGGAATAAAATGTGCACCTGGTGAACATTTGGTAGTGGTACCACCATGTGTCAGGCCACGGACCTGATGCTGAAACAGCTGCATCAAGGTACAAGCTTGCCGTGAGCATCCCAGACATCAGCACTTCAAACCGTCATTCCCGGTGGGGAGAAAGCATCCCACCTTCCCACCTAGGCAGGTGAAGAGGAACATGACACTGCCTCCTCTTCTGCAAGCACAGTTAATGGCTTTCAGCTCCTCCTTCTGCAGTCTCCAAAAAACACAGGATGAAACACTCTGGAGCACAGCTTCAGCTCATCTTACTGGCTTGTCCACTCTACGCCCTTTGTACCACTATTAGGCAGCAACTGTTCAGGAACGTACGAAGAAGGGAAACCTTCATCTGCTTAACATTTTACATCTGTCACTAAGCTACAGCAAAAAGAAGGACACAGCCAGCATCTTGTGTCTTGGACCTGTGGTTACTGCAAGGTCCTCTTTCCTGTTTTGGGAATGAAGTACATCGTGGCCATCCAATCTGCTCTTAACGGTGATGCTACAGAATCACGTAAAAGGATTAGGCAAAACATTTTTGTTGTTTTTCTTATAATGGCATGCCTGAGATAGAACTCTGCACGCAAAGCTTCAGACAGCATTTTACAGAAATCCTACTGTTATAACATCATATCATCATGCAGAGGCCCTATAATTAAATTATTCATTTAATGAGGTTTGTTGCTAAACTACACATAATGGTTTGAAGGAAGAAATACAAAGTGTTATGGATAAAGGTAAATTACACTGTATTCTCTTCTGCACCAGCTGCAGATCCCTGTAATTGCTCTCCAAGCCATGACTTCACATTAACACAAACCGCTATCACTAGGTTGTTATTTAGAGTGAGTGGGTACTGGCCGTTAATGCACCCAAGACTCTGCTCAAGTGGAGGTGAAATGATTCACTGAAACTCTGAGAACAAAATGCCAGCATCAGTGACTTCACGTGAGCTAACTGCAGCTCATACAGTAACCTAAGTCACCATTTACAGCTGCACTGCTGCTAGCAGTGGATAGAAAAATCTTTTCGCTGAGGAAACACCAACTATGCAAAAGTAAATTATTGCAGCATAGCAGACTGTGCCCCGAACACCAGCTGAGCTCCCCAGCCTTTCCAAAAGCAGTGTGAAGAGCCGCAGCAGAAAGCAGACGCTGGGCTCTCCTCCTGTGCAAGCCTGAGCTAGGCTGCCACGACGTAAATGCCCACTGAATCTCATAGGCAGCGTAACAGAAAACCTACATTCTCAACGCCGTGCTCCTTGGACAGCCGCTACCAGGAGACTGTGCCTGCACGCTTACACTGTCACCTCATCACCCTGGCAGGAGTGGTATTTTCATCAAACACAGAATCACAGAATGGTTCGGGTTGGAAGGGCCCTTAAAGATCATCTAGTTCCAACCCCCCTGCCATAGGCAGGGACACCTTCCACTAGACCAGGTTGTTCAAAGCCTCATCCAGCCTGGCCTTGGACACTTCCAGGGATGGGGCATCCACAGCTTCTCTGGGCAATCTGTTCCAGTGCTTCACCACCCTCCCCAGGAAGGATTTCTTCCTGAAATGCGTAGCACCTTTTCCACCAGTCAGAAATGAAGCACTACAGATTTCTGATAGAATTCTAACCACATTATGTTTGAATCTCTTGAAACTCTAACACTCTCCTATGCTCTTCGGAGGCCAATGAAGCTCTTTAGCAGATTCAAGTCTGTATTTTAGGGCGCAACTTTGCTAACACATTTTTAACAGTGACTTAGGCCTTACACTACTTCCAACATAAAGCAAACCTCATTACAACGGTTCACTAAGAATTCTCTTTTTTTCTCCATTCTCCACTTTTTATCTTTACTACCATCTCTGGCTTCTGTTTCACCTGTACGTACAACATTGTTCTTTGAGGCTGAAAACCAAACTTTTCTATAAAACAGAGGTACACAAGCCTAATACTCTTTCTTCAAAATCCCTTTGTTTTGAACCACGATGTTATGAAGGTAAATATGAGTAACATCACAGTATAATGTTTAGAGGGGAAAAAATGGAAACAAAACCAATACCTGTGAATCTACGTAACTAATATTATTTAAAAAAATGTTGATTTTAGTTTTTTAAAGAATCAAATAAGATTAAAATAAGCACATGGACAGAACAAAAGAGAAACATGAAAAAACACTGGCATCTGAACAGAATAATAATTAAAATGGTGACATAAAAAAAGGCAAATCCAAAACACAAATGCATGCTAAAAATACATCAACTAAGTAAAAGTTACAAAGTGCTGACTTACACATTTTTAATCTACCTCTATTATTACTGCAACTAGTATCTTAGTTAATAAGCAGTAACTTTAGATTCTTCATTCCCAAACATCTGGGCAAATGGCATTTTGGGAAATGCAAACTCAAAGGTAAGTGAAACATGTCAGAAGTCACACAGAAAAGCATAAAAGTAATTTCTTTTCAACAAGGAAAACCAGTATTCTCTCTTAAGATTCATTAAGAGTTTCTGTGTTTAATGACCTAATGAAATCCATTCACATAACTCATGCTATTGCTTCTCCAAACGTTTCAAGCTGAAAATCGTACCTTTCACATCCTCATCTTCAATGGTTGTATTGGAACTCTCTGTTGATTCCTGTTGAGAGGCAAATATAAGTAGAATGTGTCAAACAAGCCAAGCCTTATTTGTGTGCCTTTGCAAATTGCAGTTAGTTACAGGTATCATGCAAAGCCTTGAAGCAGGGTGGGATGTAATTCACAAACAAATGGTCACACACTGATTGAGACATTTCCACCTGAAACCGATGTCAAACATCGCCATTCTCTATGGAGGGAACATCAATACATTTCCTGCTGTCGAATGCTTTTAATTCACAGGAATGTAAAGGAAACTTCTTTTTTTTCTTTAACAACAAAGTGTACAAAGTCCATCTGAAATGTTGTATGAATTACCTCAGCCAAGTAGGACAGCTTGCCATTTTAGGCTTAGTGATTAAACCAACTGTGCAAAATAAGTCATTCCATTCCAACTCTCAAATATGCAGACTTCTGCGTGCTACAATTTACTGCTTTTATGCTCATAGGACTTATGCGATGTATATTAAAACCAAGTCTCCCAGTGATTTCAAGAATACGGGATCAGATTCTGCCAGTTTTATAGAGATTTTGTGATTTTTTTTTTTGGTGAAAGAGATGGAGAATTGATAAATATATGATGACGACTTTGACAAAGTAAGGGATCTTTGTAGTAGTACTCTTCAAACAAGCAGTCATGTAGAGGAATGACTCATTATCAGAAAGTTTATCCTTAAGCCACCACACTGTTAAAAAGGCAAGGATACTGTATCTCATTCTTTCACGAATTACCAGAAACATAAAATATTACGGGCAAATTCAACAGGGCACTGTCAAATCTAATAGGTGCACAGTTTCAGAAATCCATGAAGCTTTTAAAACTTTATTTATTTAATCTGTATGCTTTCTTGAAAAGTGGAATCAATGTATTTTTATTTTTTAAAATTCACAGCTCAGTAGGAAAAAGGATTATCTGGTCTATTTTTACCTGAGAGACAGAAGAATGGACTCGCATTGTACGTACCGCTTAAAGGGATTTTGAAATCAAATAATAAAAGGTAGATTTGACAGTGCCCCTTATTTACTGTGTCCTCACAAGGCTGAGCTGAAGGAATGTTCAAAATGGTTAATGCATTACTCACACCTTAAAAAAACCAAAACGTATGAGCACCCATAAATAAAACTACGCGAATTAATTCACACACAAACAAAACTGAGCAAGTCACCATGCTTTTCCTGAACTGGCTGGTGTTAGACGTTTCACTCTACACAGATGGATCATGCTCTATCACTTAAAATATTAGATAAAATACTTATGAGTAAACAAAACCCCCCCACAAAGACAAGTTGTAAACACCATGCACAAGCTCACACGGCAGATGTAGCCTGTAATATTGAAGCATCCACTCCAGTTGCCATACTACAACGATCATCAGTCTTTCAGACAAATTTAGGAGTAACTCTCCGCATTAAGTGGTTTGCTTGTCTGCTGTGACCTTTTGGGACATTGAGTATCTTAATTGCTACGATTATACAATAAAGTCAAGTAGATGTAGTCACGCCAATATTTTATGTGGGTTTTTTAATCTTTAGTGGAATTCAGTGATAAAGATTAGACCAGTGTTCACACACAGACTGTCTGTTGCCTAGGAGTTTAAACCTGGGGAGCTGAAAAAGTAGTAACATGAAAATAAAAGCTCTATGTTCAACAGATGCCAGGTAGATGAAGGAATGGGATATACAAGCACAATACACACCGTCAGCACTTTCATGCTTGACAAATGTCTGCATGCGTTATTTTTACACTCAGATTCAATCCTTCTCATTTGAAAGAACCACATGTAGTTAAGACTAGATAAATGAAATGTCAATTCTTTAAGTCAACACTGTAAAGAGTGAAATTTTTCTTGAAGATCAAGTTCTTTCCAGGAAACCTAGGAAAATGTGTTATATGTACATGATATTTCCTGGCATTTTTCAAGTCCATGCATGAAAAAACCAAAACAAAACTTGTTTTGGGAATCAGCTGCCAAACGCAAACACCACAATATGAAAGAAAAAGAAAAGAGCATGAAGAAAAGGTATAAAAATCAAACGACCTCTTCGTCACTTGAAATGTTAAAATCTTTTTGAAACTGCTCAGTGATGTTATGGAAGAAAAACAGAGTCCTGTGCAAAACACACGTCACAACATGGTGTATGAGCATGCTGAGAAACAGCAGATGGGATAAACTGAAGTGACATCTTCATCTAAGGTGATGACTGCACATAAAACCCGTCGGTATGATCTCATCACACTGAGAACAGCGTTCTTTGGTTTTACTTAGACTGCAGCATTTTCGGCTGAAACGAGAGACTCCACGCTCCCCGAGCCCGGCTGCACAGGGTACTGAACTCTGCCAAATCCTACCGACTCCCCAAGAGCTTCAGCAGCTCAGCACTCAGCAGGATGCACATAGCAGATGAACACAGAATGAAAAGAGGTGCAAGACACCAGGTATAACAAATGCAGGAATGAGATTTTTCCTTGATAAATTCCTGGAAGGGCCCTATTTTGCTGTGATATAGTGGATGAAATGTGTGGTGTGGAAAAGCAAGATGGAGTTGATTCTTTCTGAATACCTTATTTCCATCAGGGTTGTGGATTACTGTAGTTTGGGGCTCCTGAGCGAGAACAAAATAAAGAGAAAAAGAGTTCCCATTGGTAAATACATTCTCATTAGTGTGAGGGAGTGCAAGAAGAGCCAGCTCACAAATGCTGAACACTGACAAGAGCTAAATCAAATGTCAACTGTTGCCAGAGGGTGAAACGGGATGTCTGTAATGCAGATTTCCTCAACAGCAAGCCAGCAAAAAAAGAGACCATCTCACCTAACGCAGCCACATGCAGAGACCTTATTCATGACCAATGTACACAGGGCTTTGAAGCTCTGGAGACCTGCAGAGGCCCTTTTGCCCAAGGACATAATGTTTTGTCAGTTTTTCTGTCCGAGTCAGGCCAGAGAAGGGGGGCAAAAATCACCTAATTTCTTTAAGCATGTTTGCTTGTATTAGTATTACGGGATCAAATAAAAATACAGATGAATTGGTATGGATTAAGGATGAGTTGACTCCCTCTAAACACTACCATGTTTTGGAAGATGTAGATTCCCACCAATTGCTGCCCTGGGAAAGCAACATAAAAAAGTAAGAGACACTTTAAAGTGTAATTTCACCAAATCCTTTTTCCTTAGAAAGCAATTAAATAATCTTTGAAATGGCAGTTAGCCAGCACACTTCCAGCATGGACTACTGTGCGTGGCTATGCCTGGAAGCAGGCTGCCATATACTCACATATGAAACCTGGTAACTGGTCCTTAGAAATTAATTAGCAGTGTATGCTGCAGTGCCAGATGCACAACAGATTTCAAGAGGAAAATTCTCTCTCGATGTGTGTGAATTATCCGTATTTTCAAAGCTACATGCAGGCATACGGAAACAATACTTACAAAATTAGGTGCTTACTCACTGGCATTTATATTTGTGAGCAAAATGTATTTGTGAGCATACATGTATGCCTGAGAAGTAGGAGCTACTAATAAAAGCAAGACTGCAATAGAAAGATTCATCTACGGCACTCCAATTAGTAATGTGTTCCTAGCAGAGCTTATTAATGAGTAATGTCTCCTGAAGATTTAAATGTAAGAGAAACAGGCAAAAATGTTTAGCACTAGATGCCTCTTGATCCCAGTGAAGGCTTGCAAAGTCCGGCTGAGTTTTAGGAAATATGGAATGAAAATTTGAATAAGGTCTATTTTATGGTTGCCTAGCACTAATCCCGTTCGCTCTCCTTGATATCAATACTTATACTATGACAAAGCAGAGAAAATAACAGCTTTTTTTGGGGTGTGGGTGCAAAAAGTTAGCATTAAAAAGATGGAAACAGTCATCAGGCAAAGAGCCAAGAGCAACATAAAGTGCATTCTACTCACTTTCTGGCACAGCATGCAAAAAATTCCACTACAGTTACAAATGTTAGGACTCTACCGCATCCAGCTTCCATTTAACATTTTCTATTCATAAACACGCTCTAATGAACTTCCTCACAAAACAAACAAACAAAAAGAAAGCATAATTCAAACGAAAAGTTTTTCCAAAACCTGTTTTTAGAAAGCAAACACAGTAAACACATGAAAAGGAAAAAAGAAAAAAAAAGAAGAAGAAAAGGAAGAACAAACATAAGACAGTCAAAAACTTCCAGATAGCATGAGAAGGAAGATTCCAGGTATACCAGCGCCGGAGTAGGAATATTTTCCTTGGGGCTGGTTACCACGTTCGTTTTGTTGTTTATCTGTAGGTATGCAGAAAACAGAAACAGACAGGCCTTAGAACTCACGGCAGACACCGTATCTATATCTCTCTGTATAGAACATCTATATACAGATATAGATACCTATATATAGATATAGATATGGAAATAAAGAATCACAGAAAGATGAACTAATGAACTTGAAAGAGCACTAACAATAGGTCCGATAGGTAGCTGCAACTCCTCCAAACATCTGCTAGCTACGGGTTTGCAGATGCGCTATACGAAGGGCTATACAAGGTATAGATGACTTCAGCTGTGACACTTAAAAGAACAGAGCCTTTAAGTAGCAGCTAATCACATATAATAAGAAGAAAGAATTAATATGGGTTTGAAGACAGTCCTAAACAGTCATTGTGATCTCTTGATATTAAATAATTGTACCAACTGTTCTTTATTTCTAATTACCTAGCAGTACCATAAACAATAGTTGATTATTCACAGCTCCAGAAATCTATAGGTTTGTTCTACTGGGTTCTGGGAACAGATTTGAACAAATGTAACTGATTACAGATCTGATTAATTACAACTGATACTAGAAAGAGACTGGTGCCCCTTCAGCTCGCTCTGTTTAAATTTTGACAAAAATAATGGGCAGCTGTGATATTCTGCAGTCTCAAGAATCCTGCAGTAACTGCGTATCAGCCTTTCAAATTTGGCACTATTACCTGAAAGCGTTAACGCTTCACACTAGAGTATCTGTGGTCTCAGTCCACAAATCAGTACCTATCTGCTTAGCCTTACATCTTCATTCTGACGCTCAGCACAGTACTACACCTTTACAAGGCTTGTGGCTTTCACTTACAGAAAATTTTAATGGAAATTCAACTGTTTGACAATAAGTTTAAAGTTATCTGATTCTTTAAATCCATTTTTAAGATTCAGCTTTCATAAATACCGTGGTATGAAAAGAACAGAAATACTAATGTGCCGAGCCACTTTTTACATGCACTAAGAAGCAAGATTAAAATACAGTAAAACTAGTTTGAAAAATGCCATTTTTTTCTTTAACAAGAATTAAGGAAAAAAATTTTACGTACGTTTCCGTCATGTCTAATTTTAACAAGAGCAGTCCAAAGCAGCATGCAGAACTCGGTGTATAGATATATATTGTCTGGAAAGACTTTGTTGCCACCTCCCCCTCCCCCAAGAAATAAGTTCTAATGAACCTTCTAGTCTCAGCACTTAACAATAAATGTGCAAAACAAAGGAAAAAAGGTCCAAAATTGTTTGATTAATGGATTTTTGTAAAAATGTAATTAAGTTTTTCATTTAAAGAAACAAACTTTAGCTATTTTTGGGTCAAAATTTGGTATTTTTTCTTCTGAAAGAAAAGCCTTTCCAAACCAACTAGAAAACAGCAATATGCTACGTAACATATATGAAAAGGCATAACGGAAGAGGAAGATAAGCTGTGTATGAAACATCTGACTTCTGACTTAAGCTTCCCAAGGACCCTGTAGTCTCAGATGAAGTGTTCGGCTTCTCAGCCATCCAGGCTCACATTAAAGTTCTGTCTGTGCCGAGGCTGTGCTAAATTTGAGCCTTCAGAAGTTAGCACCACTGGGGAAATTCACTCATCTCCATGTCCTCAGCAGTTTTTGATGGTTATTTTACTTCGGTACAGATGTGGCAGCTGACTCGTCGAATGCGGGAATTAAGCTTGCAGCTGAACTGAACCTTACTTAGGATATTACTAGATTATGGAAATGTCAACAGTATTTGCATTAATTAATTACAGACTGCAAAATTCCTTATCTTTCTCAGCATTTAACTGGCTTTGAAGAATACGAAGCAGTCTTGTTAGTTAATGTCAGGGAACATTATTTTGACAGTACATGTTATTCAGTAATATCTGTGATAGGAACCAATCTCCCATACAGAATAAAAATAATTTTCTTTGCTTTAAAATAGAAGTTCGCAGTGCCCTACAGCAGGAGGATGAGAAAGAGCTGTTCCTCCTAATGATGGCCTTTCCACAGAAATTGTCTTTAAGAGAAAATATGAGTCATTACTGAGTTCCAAGAGTTTAGTTTATGCCACAACCTGGCCTAGTTATTGTCAAATAAAGTTCATTATTGACAAGTACAGCCTTAAGTTGCAGGGGTGTCTGAACTCAAGACAGGGAGAAAACAAATACCTTCATGCATAAAGTCAATCATGGGGAGATGTGTTAGCAATTATTTTATCTATCAACTACCTTGCTTTGATATTTATGGGATTGTGAGATGAGCAAAACCTGAACTCCTTACTCAGGAAAAAACTTTAAAAAAAAAATCCCAACCACATCAGAAAATTAAAGTCCTCCTGGAGAACTGTGGAATAGTGAGAACGTGCACAACACTGCTTGACGGCACACTAAATCTCTCAAAACAAGAGAAAAATCACATATCATGTTGTGTTAAGTACAAGCTCCTATTTTTACAACAGTGTAGTCATCAAAAGACTACAACTCAAAAGGCCCTAACAAAAGGCATAGAGACATAAAGCAAAAACATGAGGAAAGAAATGAAGATTTCAACAGATTTCAAACAGTCCTGTTCAATAGTAGCTTAATACAAAAAAACAGTGATATGCCAAACAAATGCTTGCTGTTGAATACATAATGAAAATGGGTTAATCAAATTCAATTCCAATTTTGCCTGAGTAAGGAGAGCAGGCTTGGGTCCATGGTGAAAGTCCTATAAAAATAAACAATATCCATTACAGCTACTGCCGAAAACCACAGGAAATATATTCAAAACTTCTTAGTAAGGTATCGAGAATACAGCATTCGTTAGTAAATGCAGAAAATTATTGCAATTCAAAATACAGTTATTTCTTCTGTGTAAACAGAACTTGGTAAAACCCTTTGAAACATAGAGAGAAAAGAGCAATAAGCCTGTACACTTTCTCTCTCTCACAGAACGTATGTGTGTGCTTTTATGAATATATGAACACGTGGTGTATTTTACATGTATTTTTAACAGCAAAAGGAAATGATTCCAAAAGGAGTAAAATATTTTAATATGAAACAGTTATTCTGAAGTTGAATGATGCTTAAGTGGTGATCTTCTATTTCTTGAAAAGAAGGAAAGCTTTTATACTACTGCATTGCCCGTCAAAAGGTCTGACAGTGGCACAGGACAGACACACACAGATGCCCTAAACAGCTGGGCACAGTTGTAGAAACATTAGTCCTTTTTTTCCCAGTGTATTATAAGAATATTTAAAGAAACAAAACCTGTGTCTTGCGGCTTAATTTTCACATGGCACTTCTGCAACAAAAAGTTAGAGCACACTTGATGTGGGGATACTACAAATATCCCCACCTGGTGACCCTCATTTGGACACTGCTACCACAGATCCTCTGTCACTGAAACTCTACGTTCACTCCAAGAACAGACTATTTACCTGTATAACTACAGCTCTCCTCAGACCTGACCAGCCATTTTTTTGCTTTTCAAGGAGAGTTGCACTTCCCAGTGAAAGGTGTGGATGAAGGGTATGTGTCTTCTCCCTACCAGCAGCAGAAGCTGGCAGCGAAGTCACAGCTCAGCATCATGAACATCTCAAAAGTCAGATTAAAAACCGTAATAAACCAGAATGTAATAAGTTGCTGTTTGGGATCACACAGGGCAAACGAATGCATGACTGTAGAGCAGTTGAGGAGGAGGAAAAGTTGTTGAGACTGACTGTCAGTTGGGACATCTGGTGACAAAGCCCTGAGCTGTGAAGGAAGTTAGCTGGGAAACAGTACTACTGAAAGGCTGTGAAATTGCTTTTCTTACTCCTGAGCATGTGGCATCTCGGTTCCTAGTGGCTCGCTTAAAGCGATACTATTTCACTGTGCAGCGTGGTTTGTGTTACATTTTATGATATTAATACCATTAGCTTTTAAAATAAGGAGGTTTAAAAAATTAATAGAAGGCTGTTATAAGATTACTGTTTTGTTACTATTTTTATTTACTAAGGACAGCTGCATTGGCCCATGTTACATCTACTTTTTTGTTTTCTTATGTCCCCAGGTTAAAAAAAACACAAACCCAAAAACTTGCTTGAATGAACTGCAGAACAATTCACTGTGGATGGCATACAGCAACTGCAGGCTTAAAATTCACAAGGTTGTCCTTGAAAGTCTCGCAGCTTCTCACAGTACGTTAACAAAACTAAAGGCAACTGTTTGATTTCTAAGTGTGAACGTTTCACAGGAGGAAAAATCTGTCGATAAAGATCCTCACCATCATCTGAACACTCGAACTGGACTTCCTTTTCTGAATTGACCAGTCAGAGAGAAAGGAAAAGAAGAAAATGTGACTGGTTGGATTTGAAGTATCAATGCATGGAGTACAGTATATTTCTGATTTGGCTTTTTTTTTTTTTTTTTTAAGAAAAATACAGCTTAAGCTGTAGGAAGGGGTGGAAAAATGCTATGTAGTATATAGTATCTCAATAACAGAAACAAAAAAAAATAGACTTCCCCAGGTGTAAATTTACTCCCTTTGCTCCACATGACCATGCAGACAAACAGCAGACACATAACATGTGCTAAAGTATCAAATCACAACAAGTGTAATTTAGGCAAAATTTTGGCAACAATTGTTTCCAATATTATAATGAACACTGAGACAGAACAAATACCATTGTAGACCTGTAGGAGGAATGATATTTAAAGAGGAAAAGCTGGTCAGATAGAACATATAAAATTTCTATATTCCACAATGAGACATGTTTTCCAAGGAATATCAGAACAGTACTGAACGCGTGCTTCTCCATGGATATGGTATCTACTACCTGGCAGTGAGAAGCACTGAAATCTTAGTATACTTGCTTCAGTTGAAGCCAGTCTTATGATTTATTTTGAAAGGAAAAGTGTGCATAAGTGGGAGAAGAGGGACAAATATACTATGAATCTGGAATTTAAGTATACGAGGTTTTGTTAAAGCAAAAAGTTAAGATGAAATAGAAAATTAAAATTCAGATCAAAGACCCACTTCTGAGTAAACACACAGAGCACAGAAGAATATCTTTGGAATCATATAATGAAAGCTTGAGGCACTTATTTTAGTCTTCAGGAGTCCTCTGAGAAAAGAAATAAAATATTTTTCATTGCTGAGTGATATTTTTTTCTGGCTGTGTTTCAAAGTATTTATCCAGAACGTTCATTTGTGAAGCATCTCTCCTCCTGCAGGATCTGGTGACATGAGAATAGGAGCTCTAAATCGTGTATGAAAGCTGCCAAAATGTTCCCTTCTTATCAAGGTCTATTACTCAGGATGAGCTGATTTATTGAGATAGTCTAACCCTCCAGTTCTGCCAAATATAGCAAGTACATCTGGCAGAACACACCTCATGTGGAGCCAAGCCTACCAGTAAACTTTTGGTCTTCCATGAAATCTAAGGAAAAGTCAAGGGGAAACACGGAGGCAACAGAGCTGCAGAAAAAGGCTGTTAACTAAAAAGCCAACATGCCCACCACCAAACCATCATTTGTATTTATAAGGTAATTAATAACACTGAGTCATTAAGTACACAACCATCCTTCATTAAAATCGAATGAAAAGCATTTTCTCCAGACGTTTTCTATGTTGTTCTTATTAAAACACTTGGTTTTCAAATAGTTTGTTAATTTTTTTAAGCTTCACCTAACTTTAATCACTTCAAATACATGACTAAGAAGCACTTATTAACAAACTCTATAAAGGAAAGAAATAACAATAATCAGTTCAAAAAGCTGGCAGCAGTTACTGATAGGTGGTGACTATTAAAATAAATTTTAAAGCAGGTGTTTAACCTACCTTAACTCCATCCGGCTTTTTCAGTAAACTCTTGGCTGCTGTAAAACGAGACAAATAATTTCAGTGTCAGGTGGTTACCACTGCAGTCAACCAGCCGCACAGCAAACCCCCACTGCCTCCCTGCTTGCAGGTATGTTTTCAGCTTTTATAGCTTCCTTTTGTTGCTCTAAGTATAGGAAATGAAATACTTAGGAAGCGACAAACCCTTAAGATTATCATACATCTCTTTTCCCACTGATTAAAGCTGTAGGCTAACTGCACTTAGATGAGGAGACACCTCCTTGGGTGGCACAGGGGAAATGCAAGCAGGGTGAGTGTAAAAGAAGTGACCTTGGTCACGCTCATTTTTTCAACTGCAGTATGTTTATAACTGTTGATGGGGATAGTCTGATACAACTATGAAAAAGTACTTTGATCAGGTGCTTATAGAGCCCACTGGTATCTTAATGATGTTATTAATATGACAGTGACATAACTAGTGCCAGATCAGTAAGGTACCTAAAGAGCACAGTGAGGTACAACACTACCTATTCCACCTAACGGAAAGTAAACTGGGTTTTAAAAAAGCATCTCTGAGCAATGGTTCTTTGGGGTTTTCCCACCACGACAGCATCAGTCACCTTGCATGAAAGGTGAAGAAAGGTGCAAATAAGAAAAGAAGAACAATCTGCTACTCAAGTGTTGCTTTGGAGGAGGGCTTCCCAGGAGTTAATAATAACTAATGGTGGCCTTTGCTTCAACTGCTAATGAAGAAACCCTGTCAGTTCCTGACTCATGATGCACACTGATTGAATTTCTTCAAAGCAGTGGAGAAAACTTCACTTGCCATGACATTATCCATACGTTAGGCTTTAAATTCCATTACTTAAAACTGGCACCGAGAACGGGGCCAAATCGTCCCAAATTGCTAAATTTGGAGGGCCAATGTGCAACCAAGCACACCGCAGCTCAGAACCCGAAAACACTTAGAGCAGAAATACATGCTGGCTGACCTACCAAACTCAAACTATTCACTGAAGTGTAAATGCTTCATGAATCACTGCCAAAGACTTGAAGAATAAATTACAAAACAAGCCTGGCGTTTTTTTGGTTTTATTGTTGTTTATGACCCAATCTTCCTATCAGAGTGAATCACTGCTTAGGTTGCTATTCTATATACGCTGTTCTGGTTAAAAGTAGGAAACCTTTTTGAAAGGGAAATGCTGCAGGCAACAGTCTGGCATAATCAAAGGGAGACAGTCCTGACACAGAGCTCCCATCATTACCGGCATCCTTCTCTTCAAAACAGAACAAAAAATCCCCAAACAACTGGATCTTGCAAGCCTGAGGTTGCATAAACTAGCTGAGGATAATGCAATTATTGAGTATGTGGTTTAAAACTGAAGTTCATTTTTGTATCTGTGGCTTATTCTCAGGCTACACCTGCATTAAGTGCTCATTTAGCTCTGGTTCAGAGTGCAGAAAATGTGAGATGACCTCGGAAACTGTACAGAAATAACTGATGTCCGTTATTGTGTTGTTTACATTAAAAAACCTGGAAAGCAAAGCCAGGTTAATGTTTATAATTTCATTAATATGTCAGCCCTCCAAATGCAGTTTATTAATTATGGACATCAGCCAACACTACCATTAAAACCCACACAAGGCCCACGATTTACAACTGCAATGAAAAAAAAAAAAAATCTGCCTGTATTATGCAACAGGACCACAGGATGTTTTTAGTTACAGAAACATGTAAATCAGTATTAAGGAGAAATTGCTTTACAAGTATTTTGGAGATAGGATACCTCCTGTTGCAATGTGTGCTTACAGGACCTGATGCAACACAGCCTTAGGTTTTACACTACCACAAATACTGTGGGTGCTCCATTAACTTAATGAATTCTTCAGAGAAAGTGAAGGGGAGGAGCTATTTCTAAAACCTAAGGCCAAAAAACCCAGAAGTTCATTGCTTTCAAAGACTGTTTTATACTGTTAGCCCTTACAAAAATATGGGAAAACAGGAATTAATTCTTACAGGCTGCTGTTCATAACAAACCAGGTCACTTGGCTAAATTTGTGCATAAAACTTCTGAGTTCTTTTAATGCTTAACAAACACTACACGTTGTATGTAAACAGTTAAATGAAAGCCAGTAAAATGAGGGCACCAAAAGCAGTAACTACAAGTACTGTGTTTACGGCATTGCCAGCGTGTCCTTCAAAATGTGCCTGGTATGGATTATTATGCAGTATTTTATGTTACAGGACATATTCCATACTCAACTGCCTTCGTCGGTATTGGCTTGGAACATATTTGTAATAATATATTGTTGCATCTTTCTTTAAGCACAGATACTGCATACAAATCAAATATTTAAGGAATTTGCAGTAGCAAAGCGATTAGCATATTCTAAATTAAGCCCACAATGGAAGATTTCTTGCAACTACAAGCAGTCGCGATAAACAAAACCTAAAGCAGCGCTACTAGGCCAGAGAGCAGACTGAAAAGAAGAGGTGTTGTGACAACATGTAGAAATTAAAGTGATTTAGGACAAACAGCAATTTTGATTTAGGAGGCAAAAAAGATGTTCCTTTCACGTGCTGAGGGTCTTACCTCACAAGAAATACACATTCCACATAAAAGGAAGAAAGAAAAAGGAAAATAAAACACTTTTATAACCACATCGTTATGGACAAATGACCTTCAAAAGCATGCTTTGCAATGAAATACAACGAATAAACAACTTGAAAAAATAAAATGTCATCAAGGGAAAATATGGGTCATTATGGTGTAAAACAGAGGTGATAGGTGAGAGAAATCCAAAACAAAGCCAAAAACCCTGTTTGCTTTTCATACCAAAATGCTATTTTAAAATTACTTCAGCTTTTTTTGGTTCATGAAAGTTGAAATCACCCCTTACATGTATAGACAGTGACCGTTATGACAAGTGATGAGAAATGATGTATTTCTTTGATATTTAGTAAGAATTCATTTTTACAAGGTATGCGGCCTACAGCAGCCCCCCCTTTAAAATGAATTGGCAGATACTGGCAACTCATTAAGCATCAACCCAATGTAATTTACATAAAAGTAGCCTCCCATGTTATAGGTGCGCATTAAATACAGGAACTTAACTATGAAATTGGATTTCAAGTACTATGCAAATTGAACAACTTGTTCTCAAATTCATGATTATATAATGTATTTAGGATGATTTGGTGCTTATTATTATTCAAACCATGCTCAAAGCACTATCTTGTTTTTGCCTGTAAATTAATTTACCTGACATTCCAACAGTTACACCACAGAGTAGGAGGATATGTAAAATCACTGATTTTTAATCTGGCATTCTTTTTCTCTATTCACTTGAAATCTCAAATGGTAAAATGAAAAATTCAGCACAACATCAAAGTTTAGGCAATACTACTACTGAGGACAATTCTAACTCTACTAACACCAAACTTATCTTAGCATTAGCTGTTAAAATTTGTGTAGTATGAAGACCTAAACCTCCAGGGAGATCACTACAATATTATTTCATGAGGAGGAAACATCTCTGGTTATATCAAGCTGGGCATTAGAAGGGAAGGAAAAGGAGGACGCACTTTAGTATGTTCTTAATCCTTACCAAAGCAACAAAGAATGAATGTGGGGTTTTAAATTTTTTTTTTAATACAAGATGCAACAGGATCCTGGCATGAGATTTCAGGTATACAAAAATAATGTTGTTTGATGATACTTATGCAGGCAGAGCTATAGTCATTATTTTTAATCTTCATCAAAACAGACTGGAAAACAGTGTCTATCTTTTGACAGATAACACTAAAATAGTAAAGAGAAGGAACTCACTTCTACTGAAAAATTAGACTAACTGTCATCTCCAAGAGACTCTATTTGGCCCAAAAAGTTTAAATTCTCTCGTTTGCTTCTGCAAAGGAAACAATTTAAGATATATGATATGAAAATGCTCCTGAATAACAAAGATCTCCCTGTACTAATAAATCCTAATTAGATCTCAGTCATCACAGACATCAAAACATAAAGACCGTATTAATCTGGAGCTCAATGAACATACCTGAGAAATTTCTGGTAGCCAGCATAGTTGTCAAAATGGCCCCCTGTGTACACAACACATTTTCTCAAATTAGGATCACACATGTGTAAAATTCCAAACATGACAACAAAAGGGAAAACACACGGGTAAATCACATCAATTACTAAACTAATCCTGAAGGAATGGACTGTCTGTGCATTACCGATCATACGTGATGCCATGGGTGCATACACTGTAATTTAATCTTAATTACACACCTATCAACAATCCTGATAATCTCAATATTTACCAATTGTGAGTATGTAATGCACAAACTGTGAGTATTCATAGGCACAGTAATTCTTAGCGAAACACATAGCTGAGTGAGACAGACTTTACTCATGTGCTGAGATTCTTTTTTAGGTAGGAAGAGCAGTTTTATTTGTAATGTACTACTTAAAAAAGTTCACACCTGCAAAGTTATGCTGTCTGCTCAGCAGAAAACAAAGTATAATCTAAAAGAATATCCTTAAGGATTTTCCTTCAACAAAATATTTTTAATGTGTATAAATGAAGAGGATTGTTATTATTTGCAATCCAACCAAATCATGCTATGTTCTATGCAGTTTCATGAGGAGTTTAACATCCTCATGCTCAAAAGCTGATCATCTGTCTTAACAGTTCACTTAAACATATATTCAAGAAAAAAATTGCTTAGGTACCATTCGTTTTACACATAGAACACAAGCCAACTTCTGTCTTTCCAAAATCAGCTACTCATCCTTGCACAAGTTTTCATTCTTACCTTTAGTTTTCTTCTTGCATTGAATTTCTTCAAGCAATCTACAGTCTCTTGTCTGTGCATCATAGAGGCAACAGTAGAACGTTGCTAAGAGAAGAAGAAAAGAATCATTTTAACGCACCCGCCCAGATACGTAGCCTTTCATTTACTCTATAACATACATATTACAACCCACGTGGGCCAAAATTTAGGCCTTTAATTTCTACCCTGTCTGACTCTCCCTTTGTTCAGGTTTCTAGACATTTGAGAAATTTCCAAATCAACAAACCCAAGGTCTCATTTTACTCCGCACTTCTCATGTGTAAAGTCTTCTCGAAAAAAAAAAAACCCACGGACTAAGAAAAACACCAAATCTTAGAACTTTGGTTAAAGAGTATAAACATAATCAAAGTAATGTACTGAATTATGATTTTGGAAAATATGTTTTAAAACACGAAAGAAATTTTTCTTTAGCATTAGTGGTATTAGGTGAGCTAGAGCAGGAGGAAGTATTTTAGAGAAAATTCAGTGGTACCTGCGTTTTCCCTGTAACTCAACTTAATTTGCATCACAATTTGTAAGGCAGATAATTCAACCTCCAGGAATGAATGAAGAGTTTGGAATGAGCTACATGTCTCACTGTGGTTTCCCAAATATCAGCCCAGACTACATGTAAATTCAAAGTCTAGAACTGGAAAGTCATCCTGGATCCAGTAACAGATCAGCAGCCTCTGCTAACTGAAAACTGACTTTTAACAAGTCCTTTAAATTCCTGCCTTTACATTTTATGCTTACGATAATGATTACTGGGAGATGAAGATGTAAAGCATTATCTAACTGAAAATTACTTTCTTGTACAGTTTTTTTCTCTGACAATTTTAAATAATGCTCTAATTTTGGAACTTCTGCACCACAAAGTCAAGGCAAAGGAGTTAGTTTCTGCAAAAATCTTATCCCAGGCTGAGACCTCAGTATACGACAATATTGACTGTATCTGTACAATTACAACTTTACACTCCCCTAGTTAAACAGCTGCACGAGTAAGGACAAAAATTATCTTCTAAACACCTTCACTGTATTCTGAAGTAAACCTTAAGCTGATCTGTCTGCCAAATTAGTCTGTTAAATCTATGGAAACTACTTACACAGATCCATGGATGCTTTAGTGCTTCTGATGCTGTGATACGCTTTGCTGGGTTGATGGTAAGCATTTTATTGATAAGGTCTTTTGCTTCAGGAGTCACCGTATCCCATTCTGGTGAGGGAAACTTAAGAAAAAATATATATGTGTTCATTATCTTGTACAATGTTTACACAATTTTATCAAAGGATTTTTATTGATTCTCTTTCTGGAACATTAATTGCTAATGCAACTTACCAGTTTTATGGCAAAAATACAGTTTGCCACAATTTGAAACGTCTGAATTAGACAGTTTTATAAATAATGTTTTTCTCCTTCTCTATTTTGAATTTTTACTTATTTGGTTCAAATGCACAGCATTTATCCATTTATAAGAACATGATGAAAATTGAAATTCATAGCATAAAATAAAGATGGCAGACAGAATATCAAATTCCAGTCACATGTCTGAGAGGCATATGATCAGCATTTAATAACAGTCCTGGTTTCTCTTTTAATAAAAGACAAAAATATTAAGCATTATTATTCAAACTTAGTTTTTGCTTTCTTTCAATGTAATTCTTAATGCTAACTGTATAGTTTCAGTATATAAATCTAACTAGTTACGAATTTACCACCTCCCTGTTCAGCAAAGTATTTATACATGCACTCAAAGCATCTGCTCAAATGTAAATGGAATGAAAAAAAATACATCTTAAACTCCTTTTGTGCACAGACCTTAACCTTGAGGATTTTGTATTTTCCACTGTTAAAAATATCTATTTTTTAGACAACACAAATTCGACATTATCTAGGCACAGTACGTCACAATTATGGACTACGTACATACAATGCAGATGCATAGTTGAGTCTCTGCACTTCCCCATTTCTTGGCCTCGCAGCAGAAATCATAATTGCCCACTGTCACCCCATTTATTACTGTATGACTTCTTATGCACTAGGAGGAAGACTTGACAGACCGTAAGTTTATTTTCACTAGAAGGCCACAGCATCACAAGTCCCTTTTCAGTCACCACCCTCCAGGACTGGATTCAAGTTAAAAGCTTAAAATTATAAAGTTCTGTCTTTTCCTCTTCATCATTCATGGAAAAAAAAAAAAAAAAAAAAAAATTGAGGACCAACCCCTTTCTGTCTGTTTAACAGAAATGAATGATGCAAAATTCATAATGTCACCAAATTATCAGTTCTTACTTACCAACAGTTGTATTGCTTTTATTGTAATACACTTAGTTAATGAAAGTTAATTCCTTTTGAAAAGCTCTGTAGCAGCCTGTATGTCCAAAAGTGGGCAATACAACATTATCAAGGTGTGTATTTAGGAAGCTTAGGACTTCCTAAAATTGATTCAGAGTAACTGATTGGTTGGCGTGAAAAATCATATGGAAAAACATAAGCTCTTGGGAGTTCACAGAGGTCTGAACAGGCTTGGCAGGGTAACATAAGCTTGCATGATTTATACATGGACCAGACAATGAAAGCTTGGAGCCGTAGGGAAATCAGATTTAAATTAGCATAGGATGTTCCCATCCTAATAAGGTTCATGTCATTAAAGTGCCATTTACTATGTTGAGTGGCTCATAAAGATAACCAATAAAATAAAAAAGGTAGAGGCAAAATTATAAATAATAGAATAGACAAAGTATGGAACGTACATCATAAGCACCAGCCTTGATCTGCTGGTAAAGCCTGTGCTGGTCTTCATCCCAGAAAGGAGGATATCCCACCAGGAGGATATACAGAATGACACCTGAAGAAAATGCAAGTAGTATTAGGAAATTTCTAGAAATATACCCCAGAAATTAATTTTGCACCCCACAACCATGTAAAACAAATGGCTCAGCAGGATTACCCCAGCTACTAAAGAACACCGCCTGTTGATACTGGTGAAAATAGTAAACTCAAGAGTTCCCATGATGACCTCCTGTGCGGAGTGTGGGCAATCACGAATATCTGACACAACATCAGGCCAGGAACACTGAACGTGTCTAGCTAGCCAGAGAAAAAAAATTCAGTGATCATGGATGTTCTAGGAAAATGCCTTTTTTACCTCTGGTTTTATCATGGCTTGCACTGGTGTCTGTAAGACTGTGTTTTAACTAATCTCACGGAGAGAAAATTTGAGCAACTCAATTTATCTGTATCAATGTATGTTCAATAGGAAATTTAAAAGTCCATCTGCTAGTCTTAAAGAGATGATTCACCATGACTCAACAAAAGTGCTTTCATAAATACAACCAAATAAGGGTGGGTAGAAGTGAAGTAAGGAAAAGCACCAATCATTCTTAGCTAGATAGCTACGGCTTGCCAGTACCTTAAACTGAACTGTTTCAAGAATTGGATGATAAAGGAATTGGTCTGTGTGCTAGTTCACAAAACATTTAGTTTCACAGTTTAAAACAGCAGTTCTAGTATAGTGCTCAGATCAGATTTTAGGCTGCTTGTGAACCTAAACTAAGGCCCAGCTTAGGGGATGTAACTGTTAGGTTTTCCAACTACCTGGGCATCATGTGCCTGCAGCTATTTTTCTTAATACTTTGTGAAAGCGTGTTGTGTGGACATGGCCAAGAATGCCGTGACAACACACCTTCACAAATAATGATAATACAAAGAAAGCAGGCAGATAGCAAAAATCCAGTGACCTCTTCTAAAAATTAATAATGAATTTTACTCAATACATGTTATCTGATGCAGAACAAAATGTATTCTGGATATGAGCTCTCTCCCTCAAAATACTTTAAGGTGTACTGAACATCATCTTTCAAAATAATTTCTTACCACATGCCCACATATCCACAGGTTTTCCATAGGGATCTTTTCGTAACACCTCTGGAGAAAGGTATCCTGGAGTACCAGCAAACCCTGTCAAAAGTCAAGACAAGTATTCTCAAAAGCTGTATGTGTTCTGCAAGAATCAAGTGATTCTCATCTCAACCCCCAAGACACAGGACATTATTTCCCAAGCCATCGCTCACTAACCACTGCACTTTGAAGTTTTCTTTTTAGGGCAAATCTCCCAGAAGTAGCAACTATGGGAACACTTTGCAGACTTGGCACATCCCTTTCTGCCACCACATCTGGTAGAGGCGAGACGACAGCTAAAAGCCACCCGGTTACCCATCTACACTAGCACTCCAGGTTCAACAGCGGTGTCACGGATCTGGTGACCGTGCAACAGTAGAAGGTTTCCAGAAAGATTACGAGATAGCTGATGAAATTTATCTCATGACTTCTGCATTACTGTACGCTGTAGTGAGACATCCAGCAGTGAGGTGCAAAGACGTCTGGCTTACAGTCAAGGTCAAAAAAATTAGCAGAGTAGGAGGAGTGTGGGAAACATTATCTGAGTGATTCCCTTGGGACATACTAACTGAGAGACAGAAAATGCACACCATGCATGCCAAAGCGTTAATTGGGTTGGGTTTCTTTTAATCATTAGCCTAATCTAGTCTATTTTAAAATAGCCCCAAACTATAAAAATTAAGACTGTAAACATGACTTGCATGGGACTTCTGGAAGTGCACCAGCTGTGAAGACTGTTATCACACAGCCCGACATTTCCAGGGAACTAATTAATGAAACGGGCAGCAAAGCCACTGTATCGTAACTATAAGGAGCATGTAAAGAACCCTGTTCAGTCTTGTGGCAAGGTGGATTTCTCAGTAAACAACAAGGGCTTTTTTTTTTCCTCTAGTAAGCCTCGTAGGGCTAAATTTAAGAAAAGCTTACGTATGGCGAGATCTCTCATTCAGAATAAAAAAAGAAAGGAAAACCTGATCATATTTCTTCACACAGAAGTGGAAACTCAGTGCAGCCAATGCCAGATGGTGGCAATGTCAATGCTCAGGAATGTTCAGGATTAGCTTTTGCAAGAGCACGCGTGGGATATTACTCAGTATGAAGACCACCGACTTAGGGCTCAGCCTTCTTACAGCCTGTACTGTTCATATTTCACACAGCTACTTCTAACATCATCTTTCCACTGCAAAACTAATTTCTGCGAAGTCATTCCACTTCCCGAAGCCTCCTTACATAAGATCACAAAAAGCATCTCTGAAGTAATTTAGCCTTTAAAATTCCCATGTTCTTCATTCTTTATTCATTACCAGCAGTGGTGCTTCCTCTTAAGAGAAATGCAAAATGTAGGTATGAATGTAGACTTTTCTTAGGACACTAATTGATAAAAACTTAATGACCAATAACATTCTGTAGCATTTCAGTTAGTACGTCTGTTCCTTCAAGCATCTTTGCCTAAAATAAATGCCTGGGAATTCTTGAAAGGTGAGAATTTGGTAGCTTTCACCACATGTCATTTCTGAAATACCACACTGGCTTCCACAGAACTTATGAGAGACGGTGATAATGTATGAAGTGTACAGCTACAGAAAAAGGAAGCCTTTGCCCTGCAGCTGGCAATCATTTTAGGGTGGGAGGAGGAAGTGAAGGAACACATTCTGTATATTCTACTGAGAACACAGCTAAAATATTTTCATGAAAAATAAGCTTGTTTTTTGCAGTGCCCTGATATGAGAGCTATGAATTGTTAAAGAGTACTACTATCATACAGGAAACACAGCTTCAGCTCCTTTGAGAAGCTGAAAAATGTATGTTCCAAGTAGCTTTAAGTAGAGTGATATTTCATATCTCTTCTTGACTGTAGTGCTCTTCATTAATGTTCTTGTTCATTTTAAAGGAGAAATAAAGTTGTCTCGACTTACAAACTTACCACAGCTCCATAAACATTGTTATGCATCGCCTGAAAATAAACTTTAAAGCAAAAATGAATACAGTACTTAGCTAACTTCATCTCTTGATGAAAACACAGAATGGGTCTAAGCAGAAATAATTGGTATGGAGCTGAGCGAGCATAATTTATTGCTAGATGAGGTTAAACTACAACAAGTACATATCCTGAAGTTGCTTAAAGCAGCAATCAGAAGAATACACAGTCATGATTTCAGTGGAAAAGAAAAAATGTACTGAAATTATTAACTGCTACTTACCAGGCAAATCTATAACTGGTCACAATGATGCCAATATGAGGGTGTATTCTTCAGAAAACTACTGCTAATGGCAGTAATTACGTCAGCTAAAACAACTCACAAAGCTGGAAGCTGGCTGTGACTGTACAGTGTCTAGAAAAGACCACATCACCGTGTAGTCCTATCATCGTACGATTTCATTAAGTAGCAGAGGCCGTGCTTTGTTGAGTTCAGTGGTGCCTGGGTCCATGAGATGGCATGTTACTCAGCCTAAATAGCTTACAGGCTCAAAACCCTCATTATGCAAAGATTACATATGTACTTAACTTCATAAATGGTGAGTATGTCTCGTGAGTCAAACCTGGATTGAAGGTTAATTATAATCCCACAACATAAATTAATGCAGAGAGATGCATATTAAACACACAGCAGAAGAGAAAACAGCTCTAAGATCTGCCCTATGCTTTCATCACCCTCCTGCTAGACTCATGGCCTCTCAGCACCACTCACGCAAGGATTCCAAAATCAAATGGTAGAACAAACCATAGTGGTACATTAAACACCTGCTAGAAGGGTGGGGTGTTTCAACTAAACCCTGTCACATTTTCTACACACAGGCAAGGAACAGGTTTGTTTTACAAACATGCAAACCAGGAAAATAGCCTGTTGTATCCAAACACACAGAGCTCTAGCCACTTTCCTGCTCAGGTGCAGCCCTGGTTTAAGCAGAAAAGCAACCATCACAACAGAGAGATACAGCCCAAAAAAAGAGAGTGGGGAAGAAAAAGAATAGAAAAACATACTGGTGCAGAGCTGTAATTAGAGCATGCCATGAGTCACTAAGTGCTGCAGAATCCAGTGAAAAATCAGAAAAATCTTCTGGAAGGAAGCAAGAAAAAATTCAAAGCATCAAGCACACCGGAGTTCCTATTTTGCCTTGTTAAAGCAGCCCTAAGAAGATGAAGGAAGGTGCTCAGACCGTCACTGAAAGGTTTTGCAGGCAAGTTCCAGAAGAGGAACAGAACCCACCGATCTTATTGAATGCCACAAATTTAAAAGAAGACTCCCATTTGACTACTTTCTATTATCTTGCTGCCAGGTTACCTCTTCCTCATGTGTGTTTTGAAGACATTCTGTTCAACCTCCTTTCTACCAAGTTCAGCATGGCAGTCCTCATGAACCTACGAATCTAAACCAAGCACTTCACAAGAACCAAATGACCAAAACCATAAAGTGCAGGATTTTACAGGGAACTGCAACCTCCTGTGCATCATCTGCATCCATACAGATGTATCACTCAGAGAAAATACCCCTGGAGTCAAATTCATTCTGCTGATTTTTTTCTTGAGATGCTCCTGGTGGTTTTGTCATTATAACAAATCATTTGTGTTTTGTCTTAGTTCTATTCCACTCCCTTTGTACTGGTCTATTTGTTAATGTGCAAAAGCAATCTCCTCTGTCTTTTGTGGATTACTGAAATCCATTTATATGAAAGCTGGGATTTAAAACAACAGGCTAGCTTATAAAGCTACCAACATATGTCCAATGGTACTGCCTGTGCATCCACATGCAGTTATAGCCTGGATTTCAAACACTCTGTCTCTCAACTCACTGCCTGCATGAATTCCTTGGTGCTTTTATTCTAAGCTTTGACAGCAAGCTCACAATCACTTTGTTCAGTTTTAAACTGCACATTCTAGCTGCTCTAAATGAGAATAGGTAGCTGCTATAAATATTTTATTCTGTATGTTTTCCTCCTGGGATTACAATAAATTTTGTCCTGTGTTTCACGTCTGTTCAGAGAGGGTGGTATGCAAGACAGACACATCACGTTTGTACCCATCCTATTATTTAAAACGGCCGGTATTAAATCTTCTCCACCATTTTCCTTTGGGCATCTGTTAACTGTAACAAACAACCTGCAATTAGCTTTTTTTTTTGTTTGTTTTTAATTAACAAGAAAAAAGGATTAGTGGAACTGGAGAGAAGTGAGTAATATTGAACTCACTACTCTCACCATTCTCTTCTCATAACCTGGAATGGAGCTCTGTACAGGCCACGTAAGATACATTCCAGGTGCTGATTCTGGAGACCTGGTTGACACCATCAACTGCAACCTCCTGGAAGACAGACACTCTCCAACATTTCAGGAGCAGGTCTGAACACAGGCTGTGCTCTTCTCTGGTGGTCACACGCACACATAGTTTGCTTCCACATTCCCATACATATTTGTCACCTTCATCATCATGCAAGCCTACTCTTGATCCCTTCCAGATGAAGATAATGTTTTCAAAACCACTAAAGTGGCTGAGAAACACCAGTCCCAACTTCAGAAGGTGTGTGTAAGCTATGGATAGACAATCCTTTCCAGACAATCGTGCAAGGTTCCAGATGATTCACCTTTTACCTTCCTGGGTTTATGCTCTCCATCATCTACTACGTGAGATACTTCTATATCACAATGAACATACGTTGTTAATAACCCAACTTCTTTTGACCTCAGTGGGTCAAAGTACGGTTTTATGAACAGTTTTACTTGCAGATGTGAAAGGGCAGTCACCCCTACGACAGTCATATGAACAGCTGGGGCAGATAACTTGTACTGTCACAGCAACATCTGGATGCGGAAGGCTGTCTACAGTCTCCACTACTCAACTGCCCTTTTTTTTTTTCCCTTTCATTCAAGTCATGTTCCAAAGTGCTTCAGAATAAAATTTTCAGGTATTCGCAGTTGGCAGACAACTGCTCAGACAAAATGTTTTGATGCCTGGGCAGGTACACTGAGAAGTATTAACCTACAGTTTTACTCCTCAGTCGCCCGAGCACCTGAGTGGAAACCACCCATCTCCCTTCCAGGCTCTACACCCCTATTTCCTTCCTGCAGATACACAAGGGAAAGTGTGGGAGAAGGGTCTTGTGTGCACCTACGTCTCAGTCAAACTTACAGGCTGACAAAAGCTAGGACAATCCAGCAATCAGGAAACCTAAGTTTCAGGGTCAAGAAAGTCATTGGCACTTAGACTACTTCCAAAAGGGACATTTGTAAAGCTGTATTTGCTAGAAGCATGAATTAAAAAACTCTCTCCCTTCATCCTACCCTGTACCATTTGATGCATTGGCAAAATCCCCAATTTGAACACAGTTGTGCCAACAGAAGAGACCTCTGCCAATTTATTTCATGTCATTTGGTAAGGTGATTTACCTTTGCGAGTGAAGAGGAGTCTATGAGGTGGAGGATGCCTTGACTAAGCGCACTCTGACATTTGGAAATGTAGCCAGTGGTGACTTTTGAAGTGCTGGGGGACTTTTGTTTGTTTGTTTGGGTTTTTTTTAAAACAAATAAGATTTGCTGCCAAACTGTTTAATTCAGTGAGAATTACAGAAAACATTCTTCCTGAAGAAAAAGGTCTGAAGTGTAGTCAGCTGTAGAGACTGAATTGTGAGCAAAATACCCCTTAAAGCAACATACCAAGTAGTCACAGAGATGCATGTTTTCTGGGAGGCTTAACGGCAGTGCTGAATAAATGGTGAGAATAAGAAAAACATATTTACTTACCAAACCAAGCCTGTTGTTCTCCTTGGACTTCTATAGCCAACCCAAAGTCTGCCAGTTTTACTGCTGCTCCCTTGGATTTGCTAGCTAAAAGTAAGTTCTCAGGCTTTATTCAGAGAGAGAAAAAAATTGAGATGAAAAGGTAAGTAAATGTATTTTAGACAGGTTGTTTTTTTTTTTTTAGTTAAGGTAGTCTGGAAAACAACAAATACTGAGAGAAGTGAAAAAGAGGAAAAAAACCCATGCGTTTTCTCCATGAAATTGCAAAAACTGCACTTTCCATGCCTACTCGGAAAGAACCACCAGGCCTGTAAACAGCCGTCATGACCCCGCGACAGCAAGACAGTGTGCAGATCTACTAGAGAAGGAGGTCGGACAAAATAGTCTCATGGAACTGCGCTACCTGTTCGCGTGATAGGAGAATTCAGAGATCCCTAAGAGCTCACCACTGGAAAAACATTGCAGAACCCCCCAAAAGACACGTATTCTTTGATTACTAGTCTAACCTACGCAGTTTGCAGGATTAGGCATCTATAACTGTCAAACAAATATGTTTTGCATGACAGCTTAACAATAACAGACAATATATTATTATATTTGTGCTTAGAGGGCAGGTGTATTTACATTGCAAATCTTTCAGTAAAACCACCATGCCCACATTTGTGTTTGCAGAGAATCTATTACAAATATCAATGTAAGTTTGCAAAAGTTCTGACTTTGCCTTTTTTTTTTTTTTTAGGGTATGTTGGTCACATGTAAAATCAAATGCTACAGTACACTCACTCAACTAAAAGTAAAGGATTTGAACATAACAATGGTGTTCATCCTACTGTTCATAATGTATCCTTTTAACTTCATTTAGCAAATAAAGCAAATGCAAATTGTCCAAAGATAATTTAATTCTATGAACCTTAAAAAAACTCCAAATTTAAAAAATACTGAAGAAGTCAACAGATTATTTCAGAGAAGTGACCTCTATGCTATTTTCTTGCCTTTTCTTTCTTTTCCATCTCCATTATTTTTAAAAAAGGTTTTGTTTTACTTTTACATAATAACAAAACCTCACTTTCAAGGGTACTGCTGTGACTCCTCCAGAAGCATATTTTGTAGTGATCTATCCCAAGGTAATTCACTATATCCAGCATGGCACGGGGGATCCAATCCTGCAAACTCTTGAAACATGTATTTCATTCTAAACCTAGCAGCAATCATATAGGCTTCCAAGAAATATTTATATGATTAGAGTTAATCTCATGCAGGTACTGAGCTTGGAAACAATTAAGATCGTAAGCTTCTTTCAGCAAAGGCTATCTTTAATACATCTGTGAAGTATCCAGCAAAATATGCTTGAGCTTAATTAGGACCTCAACCACTGTGATACTCAATTAACAACAAAACTGGCCGCAACCAACTCTTTAGTCTGAAAGTGTTTTCTTTCCCCCTCACGAAACTTTCAGCAATTTACAAACACCATTCTCTCACTCATCCCTTTGTTGCTATGACACAGAAAAGACAGCATTTCAAACCTTTCATCAATAGTTACTTGATGAAACTTGTATTTCCGCATTCTTAAAAATTGAGATTAGGGTCTCTCAGAAGAAAACACAGTCTTTCTATCCACTTTAATTATCAGTAACCACTTCAACTACATTATCTCAAACACTGACCAAATAGCCAAGGGCTCCCCTAGCTACATCAACACTGACTTAAGCAGTGTCACGCTGTTTGTCATTGAACTACACTAATTGCAACATACAGTCACACAGTTCTTGAAGCTTTCCTATCAGAGTGTGAGAAGTTTACAGTAATTACATCCTGGAATGCACTTCTTACATAAAGCTCTTAAAGCAATGGATGATCCTTCAGCAACCCCAAAAGCAGTCAAATGCCTCACCCTCTTGGTTGAAACACAATCACTGAACTACCAAGTGCATATTGCTTTGCAACACGATTCCATCCAAAACAGTAATATTTTTTCTGCTGCTGGTTTTCTTGGGTTGAGTTTGGCTTTATTTTTCCCAAGGGATTTTTTTTTTTTAATTCCATCATGTGTCTTTACTCTGCCCACCGAAGTGCTCTGCACAAATACCGTGAATATGTTTCACCAGAAGCTGAAGCAGATCTCCTGATTTACTCCTTTGCCAAAGACAACAGCCTTTTGGGCAATGCTGTGTGGGACTACGCGCTCAAACAACATGCAGCTGTCATTTCAGGATGACGAGAGGCATACTAGATAATTATCATGCACGAACTTAGAACGACTGCAGTTACTTGGAAAACGTTAACAGCCCAGCGTGGGTCACTCAGGACCCGTACTCTGGATTCAACAGTGTCACCTCGTGTTACCGGTAGACTGGCTGCCCGCAAGCATGTAGAAGGGCAGTCTTAACTACTAAAATTACTTACAAATACTTTAACATGATTTATGCCTTATTTTTCCAAAGGTCTTCAATTCTTATAGAGCAAGCACTTGTGCTTCTGTGTATTTTTCCTTTAATATAACTAGAGCATCTGCTTTTTTGTTTGTTTTTAATATAACTTCAATGGGGAATGCAAAAGGGTCATAATCACAGAGCTGCACAAAGGCAGCAATGCTGCTGACTGCCAAGAACTGAAACTCCTACACGGAAGTGCACTATTACCATCTGTTAAAGACAGAGTGCCATGAACATGTCAATTTTTTCTGGATCTAGGATCCACCACCGTTCTGACTTATACCAAGGATTACAAACAGAGCAGCAACGAGCATTTCTGCCGGCTGAAAGAAGCTGCAAAAGCTCCTGTTTGCTACTTAATTACGCTAAATGGAAAATGAAATAAAATGGGATGATCCCAAATCTCCTCCTCTCGTTGCCCTCCCCACCTCCAAACACACCATCAAATTGTGGCCTGCGTTACGGGAAAAAAAAACTATCAAGTTTTGCAGTTTAAGGATCCATGTCAGGCCATAACCACCTTCTACTTGTCTTGCAGCTCTACTCTTGGGCATGGCATCTCCTTTTTTGGTACAGAGTTCTGCAGGGATTTCACCAGTCTTTCATTTCACACTCTGTTTTTTCCAGTTTCCCACAAAATAGTAACTCAAGAAGGACGGTCTTCTGCTTCCTGAAGTTCTCCCTTTCAGAAATGAAGCTGGGTATTACGGCTCAGCGGAAACATTTTTTTCTCACGTTGTTTTTCCAATTCATCCTAGATTTGCCAGAGGAAGAAATCCACACGTGGTCTGAAGCAGGGAACAGCTGGATTTAATGCATTTCCAAAAAATAAGTTGTTTTGTGTGATAGCATGAAAAATACTAGAAGGGACTCCCTATTCTGCCAGCTTGCATGGCTACAATCCTTCTACTCAATTTCTTTCCATGCTAGAAGCGTGGCACTGCATGGATGGTGAGGATGGAAATTGCTGGAGCAGCTGGACATATGTGACATCATTTCATTGAAATTTGTTCCGAGTTATCCAGCTGACATGTAAGATTTACGGATTGGATAGAGACTTGTCAGTCTCCCGTTGTACAAGTGTGACACAGGAAAATTCAGAAGTGCAAAACGGGTAGAGAGTTTTGTGTGCGTGTCTCTGAAACCATCACGCTCTCTGAGCTTTCAGAGCGTAACCCTTGTTTGGGCACAAAGGATGGCAAGCACGGTGATGGCATTCTGATCCCAATGCTATCACTAATGATACCCACAAGAAAACTCCTATCTTGGGAGGAAATTCCTGCTCCCCTAAGTCACTCAGAAAGAAAAATGAGAGACAAACAACCTGTGCCAGAAGGAATTAGCAAAAACTATCTTCTTTTACTTGAAGACCTTGAAGCCCAAGTGCCCAAGTTCAGCCCTCTCTCTTATCCACAAGGCTATCTTACCACCAGTTTTGGGACAGACTTGTCTCTCTGAGCTTCCCAGTAAAAGAAAATGATCTTTACTTGGTTTTCCATGCTTTAAATGGAAAGAGAATTTCTGCAGCAGATGTCTCCAGCCATTTGGATATGTCCATTGTTAAGAAAGAGGTAATGCTCTTCTTAACACATGAGTTTTCTTTCAGGAGTTTCTATCCCAGTGCTGCCATTTGTCTGGAAGGAACTTGACTCTTCAGGTGATCATGGGGAGAACAGTGCAGAAATTCCTGCTTTCCAAGTATGTTCTCAGCTCGAGGAGACAAGAGGTCTTCAGATTAGACAGCTGTCCTTTTCTCACTAAAACGCATGACACGGCAACACTAGAATGCTTCCCAGAAGCACTCCCAAACGCTGATGAGAGATGGGAAGATCGCCCTACACCCTGCCCCAAAGCTCTGGATGACAGAGAGGAAGACTGTGTGTTCCACAAGCACACCAAATGCTGGAAAAGCAGCTACTCTTCTCCTTGGTACTGAGGACTGGTGCCAGCAGAGTGACGGCTGCTCACCACAGCCCAGACCTGGGCGGCGAGGTACTGGCAAGCAGATGAAGCTGGCAGTTCCTTCTTGTGCACAGGTGAAGCAAAGTCAAGAAAGGCAAAATCAACCCAACCACCAAACCCAAACCATAGGAAACCCGTTCACATTTAAACAGCTCGCAGCTGTGTTGTGCTGGGGCGTGCTGCTCTCCGCTGCCGCCGGGGCAGAGGCGGGCAGCGTCCCCGGCCGGGGAGGGGGCTGGATGGGGCAGCAGCACTCACTCACCTTGAGGTCGCGATGGACTACGCCCATCTGATGGCAGTGGAGCACAGCCTCCAGGATCTGCTGAATGCAATGACTGCATGCAAACACCGGGGCCGC